CACATTCAGAACATAGTCTTTCAGAAGAATCACAAAATTCAAGGAGAGAATTTACAGGCTCTCAGACAAAATTAACCTGTACTGGCATCAACCAAGATGGTGTCTAGCAAATGGTTCCAGATAAGACAAAACAAACGTGGATGCCACTTTTACTGCTTCCTTCTGGAAAGAGAGGAAGGATGCAAGCGCTGAGAACTCCTTACACAGCAGAGGTGCAGTGCCACTTCATTGCTTTGCCTTTTCCCAAATTTTTGTATCTCAAAATATTTGAAAACTCCAATAGAAACAAGCTTGTTCTTCACAGATCTTGGTTATGTGTGAACACACAGCGGACAAAGTTAGGAAAACAGATTATAATTGCACAGGGGTAGCTTAAAAGTAAAACAACAAAGAAATGCCACCTGCGTATGAACAAGACTAAGTAGGTTTGTGTAGATGGGAACGGGCAGCTTCCTAACAGATTAAGACAAGAGTTTTCCACAAGGTGGAGGTATGTAAGTTGCCTACATCTTCGCACTACATTTAACATGTAAGGACAGAGGCTATGTAGCCATTTCTGGCTCAGCTGCCAAGAAAAAACATAGGTCAAAGAGGAATCGAACTAGTTTCACTATCCACTTTTGGAAGGGGGCAGAAACAGGGAGGAACAGCTTGCACCCCTTGCCGTCTTTCTTCTGTATGCTCAGTATCAGTCCTGTGGTTGTTGGCTGGCACACAAGAAACATGCCTCAGCCAGCAGGACCACATTGCCTTTTTGCAGTAAGAAAGAAAACATCTGGTAAGTAGAATCTATAAGAAGTCAGGGGAAGAAAACAGAATACGAAAGTCTTTCTTATACTAGCTCTCCTGCCTTTTTGAAATATCAGCAGGAGAAGGAGCATACATTGTCTACATAACCCACAACTTTGAGCAATCATCACTTGTTAAGGAGTTTAAGGCACACAGGAAAAAACTTTATCATGATACATGGGGTAGAAATTAAACTTACATACAAGTGCAGAGATGTATTAAGAAATTATCCGGCATAGTAGGTCTCTGAATCATAAAGTAAGTTAACAACACAAGTATGAAAAGTGAGCTTTTTTTAGGCTATATATTTATTAGAAGCAGTATTAATGTATGAATCCTCCTTGGAAGAAAATAAGTGTCCTTGAGATGTTAGATCCTATCAGCCAAATTGAATGTCTGCATCAATGGCTCTCCCTAAAAGTCATAATTAGGTCATTAAAATATATTTAGAAAAATAGCCTGTAAAATAAAGTTAAAAAATACTCACCTTCATTTTATTTCATAGGTCACTGTTATACCATCTAATAAGATAATTAAAAACATGCAAGCAGCTGGTACTGAGGCTAAACAGATTAATGTAATAGTCTGTAGTCATATGTGCTGGCAAGGGGTTCACCTCTTTGGCGAGGAGAAGGTCAGCTGCCCTTGGGAAGGCAGGAGAAAGACAGTATTTCTACTTTCCAGTGGCACTGCATTGCAGATACTGAAACTAGAGACCCACACCTATTTTTCTTTTCCTTTTGGTGAAGTCCATCCAACCTGCACATCCAAAAAGGGCTTTAACCATAGCAGTAAAATAATATAGTAGAGCAGAGCTCAAGTATTTCCCTCGAGTTTCTTATGTTTTAAAGATGACAGTTACTGTATGCCTAAATCCTTGCTCAAATTTTTCTAATAGTGAACTTACAATTTTGATGACATGGTTCTAGGAAATAATTTTCATAGTTTCTTATTAGTAAAGCTTCTTACCAAGCACACAAAGAATACTTCCATCAGAACTTGAAGACCAACTAGAAAATTCTCTGTGACCTGACAGGATGCATTCACAAGCTCCCAGAATATTTAGAAATATGTGCCAGTCACATGTGCTTTTCATTTACATTACTTACAAACTTTATGGCCTAAAGGGAAATGCTCACTATCTGAACATAAGCAACATTAAATCTGTGCCGTGATCAACACAAGCAAAAGCCACAAACTCTAAGGTGACACCATCATACTAAAAATAAAACCATACAAATAGTTCTGGAGCAATATAAATATATCAAAGGATAATGATCTGACATCCTTTGTTAATACATACGCACATGCTCAGAGTCTTGTACTGGATAGTGTAAAATTGTCCTTTAAAATAGAAAGTGTTGGAATCAAGTAACACCTCCCGCTCTGTGGTTTTTTTTATTGTGGTAAAAACAATATGCTCTTTAGAGCACTTCAATGGCAAAACACGTTCACTGTCAAATATTTTTAAACATTTGGAGTTGCCTCTTCTCCTAAATCAATTGTAAAGAGACTGCTACTGAGAAAACATAAAGCAGCTTTCGTTTCAGTAAAAATTTCCAGTAGAATTTTACATGTATTAGCCTTCTGCAAGCATGACATCTACGATGATCTAAAGGCGCCTTGGCCTCTTTTAGGGCAAGAATTCACTAGGCAATCTTTTTTAAATACAACAGACTGAAACACATTGGGTAAACAAGACTATCATAAGTTTTATCAAATTACTAACTTACTGAAACACTATTCATTGACAGTATCCTAATGAGTCCTTAAGGAAATAACAACCATTTACCACCGTTACCTTTCAAAGTAGTTTAAGATTCACTTTCCGTCTTTCATAAGGTATAAGCTGCTCATTTTTACTTAACATGCAGCACAGAACAATAACTATCAACACAATATTCAACCCAACAAGCAAATTTACAGCCAGTCTCATTATATGATGGGAGTTACTTGCCACTGAGCAGAAAATACTCATTTCACACCTTAAACATTGTATTACTACTTAATAACAGTGCTAGCTTGCCAACTATTAAAAGTCAGAGGTTTCTTTTATATATATGTGTGTATACACAGATATATATACACACCGTACTATCTTGCTTTATTATCTTGCCTCTAATTATCACAATAATACTCTGGCAGTTGTATATGGGACTGCTTTTAAAATATTAATTAACTTCAGTTTTGTAAATTGGGCTGTCCTCCTCTCTGACAGAATATGATTATTATTCAGTGGAAGTCGTAGCCAACGTCGTATTTATTATATGTACTCTGGACTAAGGAGTATGGAGATACAAAGGCCAACTTTAACCTCCTCTTACTTGTGGAGCATTAAAGACTGCTGCGGATTGACTACAGTTTAGGCTGGGCTGGTTTAGCACCCCAGACTGGCTCACCGAGAGATGAAAGTCACTGGATGAATGGAGAAGGGGTAGGGAGAAAGGGTCGGCCCCCAGTGGACACTCCTGTGGAACCAGAGCTTAGCTGAAGCTGGCTGCTTCTTCAAGTTTTACCTTGGCAGGTACAACAGCCGGGGCTCTTGAGTTAATGACTTTCAGGGGGAAGTGTCCTGGAATTAATGGCAGAGAGAGCTCTCAACTCCTTCCTTTTGCTCATCTGGTTAAATTCTACCTTGCCTGTTTTTCAGAGACTGCTGCATGGTCTCTGTATCTACATATGCTTCTCACCTAAAAAACATGAAGATTATTCTGGGTGGTATTTTTAAGCCCTTCTTTTAACTTAGATGGTATGTCGCATGCATTACAGAGCACAAATGTGACAAGAAATGGAGTCAGGCAGAACCCTGAAATGGATCTGCTAACATTTTTCTCAAAGTGAACATGCTAACTACCCTCAAAGGATTTTATATCATCACAAAGTAGGTTTTATGAGAGCAGACTTACTAGAAAACAGCAAATCGGAAGGATTTGTAAATCAAACCTCCCCTGTCCCACTGTGTCCCTGCAGGCACACCCTTTTTTCTAACCTTGCTCCCAGTCCAGAAGCCTCCTCTGGGTGTTTGAATCGCAACAAACTCTTGGCTGTTCCCTCTAGATCCTTACAAGAAGTCCTTCTTTTCAACATCCTTGACACCAGGCGGTTTGGTCCCCGCTCTCCTCAGCAATCTCTCAGTCTCCAGCCTGCAACAGGTTCTCCAGGTGTTGCGTCCCTCCCTGCCACCCCACACCTGAAGGGTCCTCACGCCCAGCACAGCTCGCTGCCCGCAAGACGGAGAGATATCCTCCACCCAGCCAGCTGCAACGAGGACAAGGCAAACAGGCAGGTTCCTCCTGCCCTCCCACCTACACCTCTTTGAAGTACAGACTCCAGTAGACTACAAAGGAAAAAAAATGAAAAAGGTGCCATCCATCCATCCAATAAATGAATCCAAAATAATCACGTGGTAAGCTTGTTTTATTTTACCAGACTTAAGCATCAAAATCAGATGCAGTTATTCTGGTTAGCACAAATCTTACTGTTAATTTAACAGTCACGAGGATGAAGATTTAGCATTTGTAGCAGAGGCAGTATTTCGCTGGCTGAAAGATGAAACCACACACCTGCTGATTACCTTTCTGTGCTTTCAAGTACAAGCTACCCTCTGGTATGTACCCAAGCAAGACTCGGACTCAACGACCGTGCTGCAAAAAGTTGCTCAGCCATCATGTTGCTTTAACTGGTGTTCACTATCAACAGAATTGAAGTACTATTTTCCTCTCAGAAAACCTCAAATTTAACAAATCCTGGCTTTGGTTTTTGACCTGAAATAATGAGCTAATAGAGTTCCATGTGGTCCATAGATCCACTTACTTTGGAGGATATCGGAAAGGTGATCGCTGGTGACTTAAATATTTCAACAGCACTCAGCTTAGCTGCTATGAGTTTAGGTGAGAATTTCTATTTTACTGCATACTTTGGAGAAAAAAAAACAACCAAAAAGCAACCTTAAAAATATTTAGGCTTACAAACATCCTGTACTTAGTTAAGCATTTTGAAAAGCTTTCTCAAAAAAATAACAATCCAGAAAACAACTTCTCAGATCGTTCCTTTATTAAATCCTTCATGTCCTTTAGTCTATTGACTGTTGCAATTCAGATTGTACAGCAGCCTTAAAACATATGGACCTGTTCCTTTGCTTTAAATAGATTATACAGCTTATTATATTCAAACTGTTTAAAATTAGAAAATAAATATAAAAAATTACCAACCTGTAAGAAATAAATGTTCCATCAGAATCTGAGGTGTGTTGTGTACTTCCATTTTCATTTGATCCTCCTAATACAAAAATAAAAGAAAACGCCTTTATTATAAGACAACCTTGATAATAATAAACACAATATCAATGAGAATTGCAATTGATTTTACCATATATAGTAACTTTAGTTTACAACAAAACTTACATAGACAAGTCTCAACTTTACATCTTCAAATTCTTGCAGCTGGCAAGAGAGACAACTAGCCTCCATGTTCGATTTGGGGTCTGAACGTTCTGAAAATCTGAGATTTAATTTCACTTAAAGTTTTCGTTGAGGCCCTTTTCAATTTATTAAACACAATTTTACTAGTATAGGGTTACAGAGGTTTACCACATAAATAGATGAGTTTGATTTTTCTAACATTAAATCAAAGAATACAAAAGTTCATCTATTTTGTGAAAAATTTTGAGTTCACTGTATGATATCAGATATTTTTTGTCATAGCACAAGTTCAAAGCTTCTCTGAAACTACATAAGTAACACGTCTGCAAAACATCTTGTTTTACATCTTGTGGGCTGTTTATACATAGAACAGTGACGTTCACAGAAACCAAGGATTACAAGGAAACCTTCCTCTCTGCAACTACTTCTACTGAAGGACTGTTAAAAGCCAGGAATAATCATCTGTTTTTCAAAGCAAATTTATCCATGTCCAGTTTTATACTATTTATTCTTGCCCAACCTGTCACTTAGCTTGATAATTTTTCTATGTCCCTGTGTATTTCTTTAATTCATTTACAGATCACATCGTGCACCTTTGTGCCCTCTGTTGTGCTTACAGAAATCAAGTTCTTTCAGTCTTTTTCCTAAATGAGGCTCCTTATTCCCTGTTTTGTTTAAAACAGTCCTTCTTAAACACAGAAAAGAAGGGACAGGAGCTGTAGGCAGCATACTAAAAGTTTAAGCAGTTGATTCTTCGGACAGTGGTTTTCTCTACCAAAAAAATGTTGCTTGATACAGTCTATAATCACGCCACACCATCTTGCAGTTTCATAGCCATCCTTAACCAACACTCCTACATGTTTGCTCTCCATTTTTATTTACAAAAAGAAGTTTGCAGTTTACAGTAAAAATTCATGCTAGTCCAATGCTGTATTTCACACTATTTCATGCTATTTCTAGTTCTCTTTTCCTCAGAAAGGACCAGTCCTACCCAAATACTGTATTTGTACTTGCACTGGATACACCCTTCTAATATTTTTTCTTCATAAAAGTCCATCAGTGCAGTCTCTCACTTTGTGCTAAGACAACAAATGAAAATATTGCATAAGATCAGTTCCACCACAGACTCCACTAAAAATAATTCTTTAATGAAAAACTGCATTTCTCTATTCATCTTATAATCACTATACTTCACTAATCTCCACCTGTTCTATTTCATAACATCTCCTGTGGCACTACATCAGATGGTTTACTGAGGTCCAGATAGACTTAATGTATTTCCTTGATGTATATTTCGAAAGGCTTTCAGGTTAGCTCGGCACACTCTCCTGTTTAACAAAACACCGGCACTAAAAGTTATGCCATTCACTTGTCTTTTCTCTCTTAGTTCTTCCTTAACAACTTTTCTAAAGCCCTGCAGAGATAATAGTCAACCTATACAGCTGCTTTGCAATCATTTTTTTTTCTCTTATTCTAAATACAGGTACTACATTTCCCCTCCTTCAAATATATGCTACCAGCCATGAACTAAAAGACTAAAAAATTGTTCCATGCAGCAGCATTTGTCAGTATTCTTGAAAGACATTTACTCTACAAGTCAGATGCTTTAATATTTAGTGGATGTGCTAATTTATAACATCTACGCAACGCTCCCCTTTATTTTATTTATTTATTCTCAGGCTTTTGCCTGAAATTTTATTTTTACTGAAAATTAAACCTTTTACAGTTTAGACCCTACCTGGATTACATTTAATATCATTGTCCATTTGCACTGCACAATGGTTCTAGTTTTCTTCCCCAGAAAGCTTCTTTACATAGTCAAGTTATATTTTCCTGTTAATTTAAACCCCCTTCTTATGATCTAATTCAACTTAACTTTTGCTTATTGTCACTATAAGCCCACCCTTTCTGATATCCAGGAGGCAGCCTTCTTTGCAGATCAAACTGCTTTTTGGTTTCTTTCAGGATCTTTGCTTACTCCAGACATTCCTTAAAAAATACTTCATCAATTTTCCTTCCAAGTGTTTTTTCTCATCTAATTTGGAATGCATTTTTTTTATTAACTTTTGCACCTTTGTCTAAAATAAATCCCAAACCTCTACTACATTTTAGTCTAAAATCGCTCAGTCCAGTTGATTTCACTAATTAGCTCTCTCAATTTATTTTGAAAACGGAAATCCTACTTAATCAATCTGCTTTTTGTTTACTAAATTTAACTAAATTAACAACACCAGATATTTCATCCAGGAGACGACCCTCCCAGTATTAATAACCATCTGTTCCATTTTTTCTTGTATCTCGGAAAATAGTCTCCCATATTGGGACAATTTTAAGTAATATGTTTTTTTCATATATTACCCATCTCCACATCTGATCCTGAGCATTCAGAGAAACGACTGAACTATGTTCAGTCTCTTTTAAAGCCATATGGCTAGGTGCAGTGATATTCGGCAATTGTTTATAGGGACACAGCACATCAAAATGGGTCCTGAATGCACTATGGCACTTTATTTACTTAGACAACTCCTAAACATTCACCTATCACACTAGTCAGACCAAAAAAGAGAAGTCATTCGCAATGCTAAGTTCATATGCTGAAAAATATCTTTTGGGACTCTTTTCAAGAATGGCAACACAATCTTCTTCCTTTCTGAAGAATGAGGTTTAAAAATATCTCAAAAAATGCAAGGACTTTATCACCTTTCAGCTAAACCATTTGTCCTGCTTGGAGAGTCAACAGGACTCTGCGAAGAAAACCAGAATCTTGGTGATAAAAGTTGTTCTTTCATCAGGATCCCACCATGAACATTTGGTGGGATCCTGGGTCTGCTACATCCACTGAGTTGTCCTTAACAAACTACTCTAAGTGTTGCTTGCTTTATTCTGAAGCACTCTCTCAGAAGACAATTTCCTTTATTTAAACAACTGCCACGACACTTCAGCATTCTTAATTGTACACCCATTGTTAATAAATCTCATATTCGTACAGGTTATTGTTGGCTTGTTGGTTTGGGTTTTTTTTGATAGCTGCTTTTGCTGCACCATCATACCATTAGCAGCTGCCACCAAAACTGGATAGGACTACGTCCATTCACCTCTCAAAACCGCGATTTAGTGGAGTGGGCATTTCTGTGGTTGTTTTCTTGCTCCATCCCCTTTAAGACAGATATGTCTGTTATGACACCTTGAAAGATGATTTAGATATCTTTCATTGAAAGTGATAAAAATGATAAAGCAAACTGCAAAGCATTCATTGACTTAAAATAAGATTCCCTAAATTTTACCTACTTTCATCCAAAAGACTTTCTAGCAAATCCTGGTAAGTTTTCATAGTCAGCAATGCTTGAGAACAAATGGGACAGGTGCTTCACTAACTAATGACAACAAGATGTGGGAACCCATGGCCTGGATCACCTCTCCTCAGGCAAATTCCAGTTACTCCTCCTTTTGAAAGGTATGCTGAACTCCCAGTAGAACAGACAGATTACGTGTTATCTTCTTCAGTGATAATGATCCAACCTTCTGGTAAAATTAGGATGTATACCGAACAGTTATGAATATAAGATTCATGATGCTGGTAACAGAAATCCCGGTCTCCTTTAAAAATCTTAATTGATTCAGTACTATCCTAATCTTTACATCCATTCTGAGACTCAAAAAGGGGAAGAAGGGCTCTGTTGAAGAAACAGAGGATGCTCTACCAACCCTGCCCCACACCTCCTGAAAAGGTTTCCAAACTTCAAATGCAGAAAGCTAGACAGAAAGAAAAAAAAAAAAAAAAGAAAGTAAAATAAATCACATCATATTTTCAGAGGAAAGAGAAGGGAAACAACCAGTACCATAACAAGCACCAGTATCAAAGTCAGTACGGCTATGGTACCCAGCTTTCAGCACTAGAGCAGTCACTGGTTTTAATACAATAATAAAATAAGGCAGTATCCTTCCAAAGGGACTGAAAATCATCTGGATATCTTTCTTGCTGCCGCTTTAACTGGTGAAACTCCCTCTCCTGGGAATCAACGCTTCCTCCTGAAAGAATCCAGTTCCGTTGCCCTATTTTAGCAAAGGCTGTTCTTATGCGTGGAGACCAGGGGCTAAATGGAGCTGGGACTTGGGTAGCTGGGATCTGGTACTACCGGACACAGCTGGAGGCTGTTTCAAGAGAATCTGCGTAACTCGAAATCAATGCTTTTACTAACCAGTCAAAAAAAGAACATTTCAAATGCTGGCTTCTTTAGATTTCAGAGATGCACAGAGAAGGATTTGTAAACTGTACGTTTACTGGGGTACTAAATTCACCCAGAACACACAGGCTTGTCACTTCAGTACCTGTTTTCTTGTGAGAACATGCTTGAGATTACAGACATAGAGTAAAATAGATGAACCCAGAATAAGGAGGATGCCAAATACGCTTTCTGAAAGTTATCTGAAAACCATGTGTAGAAATTGTAACAAGGAGAAGCCTAATTTAAACACGCACACTATTTTTGTATTTTTAACAGCCTGTTACACTGATAGTGTAATACCTTGTCAAAGAAGAGCTTTCTCAAGGTGCAGTGCACAGTTTCCACTTCGGGCACTAAGAAGAAACTGGATAGCATTTCAGAGCCCCAGTTCAAGAGCAGGAAGATGCTCTGGGTCTGCACCAGGCACAACGAGCACTCTGAGCTTAAGCATCTTCTCAACAAGAGTAAAAAAGCATGTGAAGAATGATGTAGGGATCAGACATTTCTCACTCATCTCCCTCATTACCTCTCTGAAAACAGCTATTTTCTGTGAGATGCAAAAATTCAGCACAGGACTTCTTACAGAGAAGGGCTGGGATACTATCATAACCAGCTGCAAGTCTACAAAGAC